TTTTATTTCAGTATAATGTGAGGAAAAAGGTCAGAATTCTGACTTTTTTTCTCATATTATACTGAAATAAAATAAAAAAAAAAAAAATCAGTTTGTTTTTTTCCAGTGGCCTTAATCTTCCGTATGAACCTGTAATTTGGTCTCATCTGATGAACCCCAGTAGCTGATTGGTGGAAACTCCGCTGTAGACCAATCACTTTTCTGCAGCTGCATTAGTCACGCCCACTGATTAGAAAAACCAATGCTGTAACACAGAACTTTTAAGTAATTGCATAAAATTACCATTTTCTTTTTCTTATTGATTTCTTTATCTTAGGCCTACAGCTAAAATTATTTAACTGAATGTTTTATTCAACTAATACATTATTGTCTAGACCAGAGGTCTTCAACATGGAGTCCGTGACCCCTAGGGGGTCCATAGAGGTACTGCATGGGGGTAGCGAAAGTTTTGGCTGATTAGAATTTTTTTCTATATTCCCCCCTGCATTTTTTTCCACTCATTGAAATGTCTTTAAATCCACATTAACATGAATTCAACAAACTGTAGTAAACAGATAAATGGGGGCAGAAAATGCCTTTCAGTCATCAAAGCACACATTCAGCGATACACAGGAGCTCTTTCAAGCTTGGCACCATTTTATTCACAACACCTGTCCCATTAACAAGGAATCAGAATCAGAAATACTTTAATAATCCCAGGGAGAAATTACTTTCATTGCATGACTCTATATTATATAATAGTGACTATAGGGCCAGTTTGATTTAACACCATTTCATACAATATATAAAATTAGGGGTTCCTCGCTCCATCCCGCCATCAGTTTGGGGGTCCTTGGCCTGGAAAACGTTGAAGACCCCTGGTCTAGACTATTGTGCTCTGGACTGAACTTTGTGAGATTATGCTCTAATTGTCTTCAATTGTGATTCCAGTCAACTTTTTTTGTTTCTTTTTTTAAAGCTTCCTTTCAACTTGTTTAATCCAAAACTGCATCTAGCTGTTGTACATCTTTTTCTCATTAGTAAAGGCAGGAGGGAAACGAGTGGCCAAGAAAACACTGGAGGATGGGACTCCAGAGAAGGAGACAAAACGGCCTGAAAAACTGAGGTAGAAATCTCCATGTGTTGAACACGCCTCCTCTCTAACTACCTTATAAAAGCTTGTATAAAAAGGGTGGAAATCTTTTCTTTTTCAAACCTGTGTAGCCGGTCCCTTGCCACCTCCAACAGGATGCAACAAGTTGGTCTGCTTCTAACAGGGACTCTTGACAAGGTGAACAAACATCTTTTGAAATTTTTTTTCTTTATATTTAGCCCATTTCAGCTCAAACAGCATCCATATTGTTATGACTTATTGTAAAACATCAGCCTAATATTTTGCAGCTGAGTCACGACTTTCCAGAGACCCCAGTGAGCGTGAGGCACAGCAAGGTGCGTCCTGCTGTCGAGAAGTCTCACTGCCCTCGAAACTTCTGCATCCAGCAGCCCAGGAAGTGGTGAATTTGCCTAAGAATGCCCCAGAGTCTGTTGTGTGCCATCAGAATTGACAGATGTCTTGGGGGACCTGGCAGGATTTCTAGTTCAAGCTGTTTACTTTGGAGAAAAGCATTTTTTTCAGTTTCTTTTCTAAGCTTTTGAAAAAAGTTAACTATTTTTGGCCTTTTTTTCCCTTTTTTTTTCCAGGCTTTGATTTAAAAATGCTGTAGTGTTGCTTGCCAAGTTACTGTGTTAAATTTGTGGTTTATGGGTTAAAGTAAATCGAACAATGGGTTGGGGGAATGTGGATAAATAAAGTTAATTTTGTTCATAGGATTTATATGAATAGCTTTGCAATGTAGATTTATATGAAAACAAAATAAATATGCTATCACAGTTAAATCTTCCTTCTGCTGTTTCTAATTTGCGTTGAGCTCAAATAACCACTAGATGGAGCCAAATCTCTATCCAAGCATAGGTCTTTCAAGCCAAAGATACTTCAAGAAAATAGATGCAAAATAGAGTTGCATTCACTACATTGGGTTGTTCATGTTTGCTCCATGAAATGCAATTTAACTGAATGGGTCAACACAATACATAAAAGGTAATTTTTAACTTGCATATAAACAAAAATATGCATGTGTTTACAGGGCTTTGTCTAATTGTCAACTTTAACACCCAAAGACAAAAAAAGTATGTGTTTGTAGTTGACTGCTTTTTATGGAAGAGGGTTAGGGCTACTGGGAAAAAAAGTCAGAATTTTGACTCTTTTTCTCAGAATTCTGACTTTAATCTCAGAATTCTGACTTTTTTCGAAGAATTTTGAATTTTAATGTAGATGGGCACCATGAAGGAAGAGATGTGAGAACACTCAGCTTCACTGACAAAGATGTGAGTCTTTTGAGAGAGCCAGTGACACATTGGTGGAAAATGATGGAATTAGGCAACTTTTTACGTGCCCAAGTGGTCCCCTCATTAATGGAGGAGCAGAAGGTCATTAAAACAAGAGAGTTAGTCTCTAAAACAGACATGGCTATGGATTGATGCTAACATGTTTATCTGTCAGAATTCTGACTTTTTTCCCATATTAAACTGAAATAAAATGTAAAAATCAGTTAACTTTTTTAATTTTTTCAGTGGCCCTAATCCTCTTCCGTACCTTTTTCTCTTTTACTTTTTGGTAAAATTTAGATGGAAATTACTGTAAAACATCCATCCATCCATTATCTGACACACTTATCCCAAGTGGGGTCGCGAGGGGTGCTGGTGCCCAACTGTAAAACCTGTGCAATGATTAAAAAAAAAAAAAAATGTATGGCCTGCCAAGACCAAAGACTTATCCAGTTTGGACACCTAAAAATGACCTGGTCCCCCTTGTGGCCTAAGTGTTGAAAAACATGTGTAAAGTTTCCTAGGATTTTATGATTTCTTTTCATTAGTGTGGCCCTCTTTGATAATTTCCCATGAAGTCAACTTTGGTTCAAATGTCGACTATGGTCGCTTCACTGTTCATTGAGCTTGAAGTTCACCTTTAAGTCTTTCTCTGAATAATATGTGCAACTATAATCGCACAAACATCAAATTCATTGGAGATGGGCTTATAGCCTTTACCTCTAACATAATTGTAATTGTCTTTCTAATCTCCTAAGACAATCCTTTCCTTTACTTCCTCTGGTCCATGTTGAGTGTCATACATACCATAACTGAATCCCAAACTGCCCCCGAAGCACTAACCCTTAACTAGTGTCACTACCAATAAAGTCTTACTTGCAGCTTAGGAAGGTGCTTTGATTGAAGGTGGGGGGAATAAATGAGAATGGGATGCCTTCTTCCCTCCAACGGAAACGGAAAGCAGTCATTGCTTTGGCAACAGTGACGCCATATGTGCATGGCTGTAGCTCTGTGGCGCAATGTATACCAACGTCTACAGTCAAACTATTTCACCTTCCCTTTGGAATTAGGTTTTCTTCACACACCTAACTTGTGATTTTCTGTCAGTGTGATGAAGTTGCTGCAAAACCAGTGGAACTTACAATTGAAAGCATGTGTTTCCTCTGCCACTAATTTGCTGTTACACCCACTGCCAAATTCCAGCGAGTCTGCACTAATGCAGGGTCTGTTTGAGTCGCTATCTAAGGGCTGGATGGTCATCTCGCCCTACCCTCTACGTGGTTTGGGATGGCACTTAATGTGAAGGACCCTCCACTGGAACGCGCAAACAGAGGGTTACTGCTTAGGGCTAGTGCTTAGGCGCCGGTTTGGGATTGGACCCATGTCAGCAAATAGCACAATGAATACCTACAGCCCAGTGGCGGCTGCTGCTCTGGAACTGCGGGGCTCTACTTTTTTGCTGCTTACTTCAATAGACGGAGGCTCAAACCTCAACAAGGATTTCTCATAGAGACTGACAGGCAGCATCCTGCTGCTCAAGAGCGAGGGGAGATAGCATCCGAGAGTGGGCTTAATAGCTGATTAATGTGCAACATATTCATGATATCAGGCACATTTAATTCATATTTAATGCAGTTTAATGACTAAATTCATGAAGTTTGACAATACATATTTTTATTTAAATTTTCAAGAAAGGTTTAGCCACCCTAATGTTCATTGAGAAATCGCCACTGCTGAGGTGGGCCTATATATATATATATATATATATGCCTTGTGAGGCATTGAACCGTTTGGCCAAATGGCTTCAAAGATCCCCACAGTTCATGAAGCTTCATTTCAAAATGTCACCACCTACTGGCAAAGTGCAAAACTACAGTTAGTAGTTTAGTAATCTAATTTGTAATTTTTTTTCAATTGTTTTTTTCCCCATTTAAGTTCCTTTGAAATTGTCAATGATTAGTCTGTGTAATAAAATCTTTTGTAGTTTTTTTGTGTGTAAAATTTCTTAGAAGAGAAAAATCATTTAGATACACTATTTTTTCTGCCATTTTAGTGAAATGAGCTCAAGCAGACAGTGAAAGTGCTTGTGCAAATTGGGCAATGATGAGCATAATGAAAGTGGTTAGTCATTTTTGTTCAAAAATAATAGTTTTTCCAAATTTTGGGGTTTTAATCGGGTTGGAAGTTGTGTTCAACCAATATTTTGGTTAAACCAACCAATCTATATTTGTACTAGGGCAAACCAATTCTTATTAGTCACATTAGCCAAAATGCTTGTGTTTTATTGCAAATTTCAAAGGTCTGAGGTTGAAATTGAACCAACAACCTCAGGACTGCAAGTCCATGTCTTACAGCTGACGCCACTTTCAAGGAAACAGCTAATTAGAAAGCAATTGTACTTAACACCAACCTTACAACTGTAACCAGTGGCTTGCCCTGAATTTGATCATTACATTGTGTGATCTAACCAAACTAGTTTCAACCATCTAGATTGGTTGAAAAAAAAACAATCTATTATTAGAATATAAACAAACTTGATCCAACTAACAGCAACTCTCCTACAAACTCCCACATATTGACTGAGTAGTGAGGCTGTTTAAATGCCCGCGGAAGTGCCAGGTGAGCTGAACCGAAGCGGTCGCTGGGTAGCAAGGCTCATAACATCACTAGTAATTGGTTGGCACACCTTGATTTAACATCTCTCATTGACCACATTATTTTTAGTCTTTTGTGGGGTACCATATTTTTTTCTAGGCCTGTTTCTTGAGTTCATTCTTTTAAATAATTGCTTTGAAGCATGATGGAAAAGAGCTGTCTGACTTTCATTTATTTATGATCATATCATTTTTTATTTATTTCCAAGGTCCAGTTAAAATGATTTCTGTGGCCATTATGTTTTTTTTTTTTTCAATAAACAAGAGGTACCTATAATTTTGTCCACGTGTGTTATCCCTAAATCTGCAGGATGATTGGTCTGTCTGACAGGGTAAGACATTTTCCTATCAATCCACAACCCAAAAATGTGTTTTTTAACATGTCTGTCAACCGTTTGTTTCCATGAATACGACCACAATATCTGCTCATTTGTTTGCTAGAAATGTACACAACAGTTGCCTTGTAAACACAATGTGCTGACAAGAATCCCTCTGTGACGTTCATGCTGTTCATGCATGCCTTTGATGCCATCTGTGTGCAAAGTTCAGAGACCTCCTCAGGTCTGTTTGAGGAGTAGCAGCAGTCGGTGGTCCCATGACCTGCAGGCATGGTGCTTTTCAGTGGCAGAGGGGGCCCATGAGGAAACCCTGCTGACCCTGCAGCGTGCAGCGACATGGCAGAGAAAGCCCCCTGTGTGGTGACTCCATAACAAGGCATGAAACAGGGAAAATATAATCTGAACATATTAAAATCATTCTTAAAGGCTGCAAAAAATTATAATACCTCTAGAGGGCACCATATACAAGGAGAGGACAGTGAGGTTTATTTAAACATGACACAGTAGTGCTTACCCAAAGTGAACCTTTTGGAACTGCCAAATAATACATAGGCATACTGTATGGCAATAGATCATATTCCAGTAGGGCATTTTTGTTATGCAATCAACATTTTGATCTGTTGTTTGGTCATTAACTTGCAATTAGAAGATTAGACTGGCTGGTTTAAGAGGCCCAGATCCACTTGACACACTTGATAGATATAATCTACCAAAAACTAAAATTCTTGTCATATAAATTCCCAAAAGAAATCCCTGCCAAAAAAAAAAAAAAGGCAGGGACATTCGTTATAGTGGGTTTTTAGAGAATAAATTGAGTCAGAAGGACCAGCTGAGCAATATTGTTCACTTGGTTATATAGCTCCCTAGAGACGAATGGTTCGGTCAATAAAAGATAATGACTGGGATGGTTTTTCAGTTCAAATATATTTTCAATCAAAACAATTAAACCGAATTACTTTGAGCCAATAAAACCAGAGAAAACAATAAAAAATTAGTCACATTTTTACAGACCAAAATTGTAAAACTTCAAACCATCTTTAGGCAAACAATTTACTTAACAAAAAACCCATAATAAAAGTAAAGGAAGGTTAACTGATAAAAATGCATTCCAGAGGAATGAACTTTGACTCGATGACTTAACTCGAGTCAGACCTACGTCACACATGTGATAAAGTTAGACTTAGTTTATATTACAAAAAAAAAAGTTAACTTGACTTACACTCGAGTATGATTTGATGCTCTTATTGCATTTAAAATTTACCACTTGCTGAAAGCTTGAATTAGCTCCAATCATTGGAGCTTGCCCTAATTTCTGATCATTCAGCTAACTGATGACCAACATGGAGGGGCTCAAAGAGCATTTGCTTATAATTTCCAGATGATAAAGTTATCATCAAACATGTAAAGGGATTAATTTGGACAGACTTTAAAGATTTAATGACATATTCATACGTGTTACCTGGTTTTATGGTAAAACCAGGTAACACGTTTCCATGTTATACCATTTAGCTGGCAAAATAGAAAACAGTGGAAAAGAAGCAAGTATAGATACATTTTGGCAATCAGGCCTTATGATTTTCACTAAGTGCTTTATGTTGTACAGCTTTTCGTGTAAGGAAATTTGTTAGATACGAACGATTGAGTGCAATTTCAAATAAACTGTTTTACACGAAGAGGCTCCGCAGCTTTCGTTGCAGGACCAGCAGGTTCTATCCCGCTGCCATAAGACTGTTGAACTGTTGAAAACTCTAATCAAGTCACAAATCTAGACTCTGCATCACACTGTAAACATCATACTTGCACTACATGGTGAATCTTCAAATAAATATTTTTCTACTGCATTTTGCACCATATCTATTTAATCTTTTTCAACGCTCTTAACCTTTCACGTTAATGCCTTTTACACCATGTCTCTCCTACACTGTTTTCATGTTGATCACTGTTGCACTTTACAGATGGAAATGTTCATTTCACTGCTAAACTGCTCATTCACTGTCAAAAAAGCTGTATGCATTTTAATTACGTTTTCTATGCACTTTTTATTTTATTTTTTTTACACAAAATGACAAAAGTTTGTCTAAGTCTAATCTAAATTCAGTAGCATTAGCATTGGCAAAAACCTTCTGCATTGAGATTGCATGTTCTTCTCCTCCAATATCCAAAACATTACTGTCATTCCCTCTTGTTGAGCAAGATATGACCACTGTTATAAGGGATGCCTTTCCCTACCCTTATTCTGCAGCCCTACAACGACCAGGGGGCAAAGACAATGGATGGAGTTTAATTCGATATGATTTTCAGGGTGGAGATGGTGAGGAACATTTACCCTTAATCATTTCCTTCATTCTTTAAACTTCAAACTTAATTTTTTTCTTCATGTTAAAGCAATCAAATCTACACAATCTGAGTCCTGTTCCACTACTGCTATGTTCGTAATCACGCCTGTTTCAGACATGTAGACTGGCAAGATTACAGTGAGGCAACATCTACATATACAACTTAGACGTATGCAACATAAACATATGCAACATCTACATATACAGTACAACATAGACATATGCAGCATAGACATATGCAACAAATACATGTGCAACTTATACATATGCAGATAACCCATATGCAACAACAGCACAACATCTAGACATTTTACATCTGCTTATTTTTCACACAAACAGAACCTTATACATATATATATGTAAAATTGGTATCTACTCAGGAGGCAATTCAAGATGCTTTGGGACCTCTGGTCTAATGCATAACATGTTAAGTGTAGATCGCACATGTATTTTGCTCAGGTCGGGGAGTTCTAGGCTAAAAATGGGCTTGTAATAAAGAATCCATTTGAGTTTACTCCCTATCTGCTATCGTCATTATGTTTTGGGTTTGGCTTGTTGTCATCTGTCTTAAGAAAATCCAGTGCCAGAAACACCTATGACCTACTTGGGCTCCACATTTATACCCAGAGATATGTTATTTCATATATTGTTAGCCCCCACAGAGTTTGATATTTGTCCTTAGTAAGACCTCTGTCGTCTCAGGAGCCATCTTTTTCTGGTGTAGCTTGTTAGAGCAGCATATAATCTGAAACTGAGTGGAAGAGGGTAGATAAATGTGTCAGGGTAGCTCTGCAACTATGTCCCAGTGCAGGTGGTGGGATACAGAAAAATTCTAGAAAAATAACATCCCTGTTGGACAATGTGTCCCACCCCATGAAGCTGACTTTTACAGAACTGGAGAGCTCCCCTCCCACCCAAGGTGCATTATGGAGAGTAGTTGCAGATCTTTTCTTCCAGCACCTGTTAGACTTTGGGAGTTGTTCTTTAATTGCATAGTTATATTTTGTATATTTTGTAAACCCTGTTGGCTGCTGATACACCTGGATTCCCCCCTCTGACGGAGAAAGAACAACATTATTATGTTCTATTCTTTTTTTATTTATTTATTAGGAAGAAATGCACATTGCAGTAGAGGTGTGTGTCAATGTGCACACCTTTTCACATTGGGTAACAGTAATTAACAATATGTACATATTGGCATCGTAAAAATATTGTACAACTCGAAGAGTTGAGAACAAGGCATACAATCGACCTCCTAGGGTGTTTTTGTTAATTAAATGGTACGAACAATACATCACACAACTAAAAAAAAATTTAAAATTAAAAAAGTAACTTAAATAAAAAATAATTATAGAGCGAAGTAATAAATATCGTAATAGTTAAAAAGCTGAGGATCTATTTAAGCTATAATTAGTATAAATAAAGCTACCCAAGAATTCAAAAATAAATTGTCATAGAATTGATCAGGATTACCTTTCTTCACTGAATATTATGTTCTATTCTGATTGGTCAACAACATAAAAAGAAAGCTTAATTGATCTCAAACAATATTTTTTTGTCAACTTGCTTTGATTTGGAATCAATCAATCATATAAAACTTAGAGAAAAGGGCTTAAATATTGAAGATTCCCCTTCAGGAGTTTCAGTTTGCTTCTCCTTCCTCCCTTCAGGTCCATGAGGCTTTTCCAGAGGGAGGGGGAGGAGGACAGGCACTTTGTTCTCTGATATCCCTCCCTCCAGATGACCTCATGCCGGGGAAAAGAGGAGGGGAAGGAGGAAAAGGAGGAGCATTGGTCTACCTTGCTGAATCAAACTGGCTCTGGGACTGAGCTCGTGAGGAAGTAGGAGTTGGGAGAACTTTTATTTTTGCCTGTAGAGTGATCTCCATGACATTTATCAGGTAAGATTTTAAAAGTTTTAAATCAGGGGATTGTTGTGGGAGATGTTCAGCAGAGATATGTCTGGTTTTTGGATGAAAGTTTGTGTGGAGGAATGCAGAGACATGCCCACCAAACAGGGGCAGACAGCTGACTCACTGCAACCTGAATGAAATCTTTAAGCCTCATTTTCACCTTTTAGTTGTTTTCTGTTTGGTTAGAAAAAGTCTATTAACATAAAGTTTGGGTGAGTTTGTTTTTTATTATTGACTAACACATCACTCAAACTCTAAAACTGACGTTAAATGAAAGCATTTCATCACTCATCATCATTACTATTTAGAAACAAGCTGCGCTTTTAACCAATCATTAAAGATGTAGCGCTTTATTTGACTATTGTTTATAAAGCAATGTGAAAACAAAAATGTTGAGTTTTCTTTAAAAAAAAATCCACTGCGATGTTTATTTTGATGTTATTGTTTATGTCTGGAGATGTGATGTAGGTGGATTTGGGCAATTTAAGTCAGGGGCGGAGCTAGATGGGGGACCTGAGGTGCCCATGGCCACCCTCAGCCAATCATTTGCCACCCCCCCCCTTTTTTCCCTCACTCTAATACAGATGGTGGCAGTAGTACTCTCAATGAAAATATTCAAACTTATTAAACATTTCAAATTTTTTATTTAATAGCAATTACTCGACAACTAAAACAATGTGGTTAATTATACACATCACAATACTAACATTAAAGTTGATATATACAGAATTCATGCTGACTTCAGAACTAAATTTTGTGTTATATGGGGTAAAGAGAAAATTATGTGTCTCTGCAAGTCATCTTTAATAATAACTTAATCTAGATATTAGTCCATGTAAATATTAATTCTATGCAGAAGAATTTTTGATAATAGTAGGTAAGTAATGAAAATGTAAAAGGTGTTCGCCCCAGAAATTTTGACCACTAAAATTATTTATTAAGACAGAATGGATGTTAAAATATATGCATCTATTTGTTAGCAAAGGCTGTAGGAAAGTATAGACTGAATATTTTTTTATTTTATCAGAAAAACTTTCGAAAACTACAACTTTGAATAGCCACTTGAATTTCAAGTGACAGAGGAACAATTTTCAATAAAAAGCAGCACCTGCGGGCTGTAAGGTACCCAATAGCATTTATGACAGACATTTTAACCGATTATTTGACTTTAACTCGCTGAAAGCTTTTTTTGCCCCAAGTGGGTAGAATTTGTGATTTGTAAACAAGTGTAAAACTCAGATGGAGCAAAAACAAAGAGTCTTCAGCCTCCTAAATGTTATGGCTTGTTTTTGCCATGGGTTAGTCATATTAAAAGACATTGCACTTAGGTTCATGTTGGGGGAAATTTTGTGTATTTACCAAAGATGTAAATTAATATTTAGGCACAATTTTCAAGAAAAAACAGGGATCTACCAATAATTTGGCTGATGATTTAAACTGGCCACTTTTTTTGCTTCACCTGCATCTGATGGACACATAATGAAGACAGTGAAATAATCTTTTTCTGTTAACTTTTTAGATTTAATAAATACATCTGCTAATGTTTTAATTTAGACATAAATGGGGATTATCTTTTGATCGCTCAATTTTTCTGCAGGATTCCTGACTTTCTACCCCAATAAAGTATCCTGCAGCACATTTTTATTGTAATTCATAAACTTGGTCTGTTACATTTAATAAAACATACACATAATGTACAGATGGACATAAACATGTCCTAAAAAAATGGAGATAACCAGCTAAAAGCCTTTAGGCACCCAAAGTCTAAGCAAACGGTTTTAAAAAAAAAAGAATGCAATTAAAATGCAGAGCATTTTCAGCAGTTAGATATTTCAGATTACAGGTTTTTAACATTTTAACCTTTAAGAATATAGTTTACTACTGGTATTGCTATTGTGTGAAATTAAAAATCAGGCCCTATTGGTGTATTTGTGTTTCTAGGGCTAAGATTGCTTTGGTCTGCAGCAATACCCACATGTTTACTGACTTATAACTTTGTTACAAAAGTATTAAAAACACTTTTTGGTGAAAATGTTAAGTCCCTATCATTCCCCTAATAAATCTAGGAGTGCCATGGCTTTTTTAGGAAATGTTATCTTACCTCTGGATTTAGAATTAACAAATATTTAACTCTTTGTTAAAGAGTTAAATTTTTATCATTAAAATGCGCTTCCATGCAGTTGCTCCAGTTTGTTCTGTTTGGCATTTCCAATAAGCAACCAAAACCATTTCAGGCAGGCATCCAATATGGAGCCAAATAAAACATCCTAACAGTTAATTTCAATCTGATTGCTCAGAAAGCTGAAGGTCAGAGTTATTTAAGTACACAAAAGACAGAGAGGAAAGAAAAATATGAGCGTATAGCTCATCTAATATGGTTACGGTAATATTTACTAGTACTATCACCATATCCAAATATTCTGGTACAGTGCATTTTTAACTAACATGATCTGATGTGGAAAATGTTGCCAACGTTTTGAAGAGATTTAAAATCCATTGAACTGGGTTGAACTGGTTGATGCTGATATGTGTTTAAAACTTAATAGAACATTTTATAAAAGAAGATGCATCACTTGGGTTTATATGAGGGCTAAAGTACAGCGATCTATTCCACCCATTTAAACTGAGTCATTGAAGTGTGACTAGCTGTCTGTGTATATCCTGAGCTGATTGCTGCTTGTGGTCAGAGGAGTGGAACACCGTCAGGTGCTCTGAAAATCAAAGCTATGTTTCTGCGTAAAGAGAAAATATACCATAACATTCAGAAAGAATCAAACGTTATTTTTTAGCTCATTGAGGGATGAATTCAGCACCCTGTCTGATGGTCGTTGTTTATTAAACTCAAACTCCTGGATTTCTATTTGTACGTAGCACATTTTTTATTAGGGAGCCAAAAATTGGGAAGATGTTAGTGAAAACTATTGTGGTCTGATCATGTGGCCAGTGTTTACCGTCCAGTATTAAATCCATGTCATTTTAGAGTCGAAGCAACCAGCAGAATGGATTTGCATGCTTCTGTGCCAAAGCTGTAGTGGGCCCAGTTGTCTGTTGGATGTTTGCATCCCAGAACAGCCATGGGGGGGGTGGGACTGTTTGAGTCTCAGCAGAGCCTGGTTCCCATGGTCCAAAGCCAACTGGCCGATAAAAGATGCTGGCATCAGAGATGCATTGTGATGGCTGAGGAGGGACACTCACTGAGGCCAGTGGCCCAACTGAACATACTAAGTAGCGGCTTATTTTTTGTCCTCACATTTTCCCTCCCTCTACCATGAAATCCAGATGAAAAAAATCCAAAAAGCTTTGAACCCTGAAGGGGTTGATGTGGATTTCTGCTGGACATGAGAGGAGCATATTTGTTCCCACCTAGCCATGTGTTTGTACAATGTTTAATTATTGCAGAATTTTAAATAGAGGGAAGAGTGTTTCTTTGGAATTCATTACGTCGCATCAACTCTTATCTGCTTTTAGTCAATTATGTTACTTTTATCTCTGTTTGCTTTGACGAGGTTCGGTTTTCAGGGAAACACTTTAAAACCCTTTGAATTGCGAGAGTTTTCCGCCGAGGAAAGTGGCGTTCAAACTTGAATAAGAAAAATAATACAACAAGATCTTTTTAATAGAGTTGAACTTGCGTGATCCCATTAATAATGTGGGACCTTCTCATAGCTTGCCTCAAAATTCCTCCGGATATTTCCTCTGACTTTATTTGGAAAGCATCAGAGTTGTTTTTTTCTGCTCTCTTTTTCTTATACTTGTTTGGTTATTGTTATTCCTAATCTATAATGCTGGTTCTTCTGTTTACAAAATAGGTTGAACCCAGAGGAAGTATTTATGCCTTTACAGCTTTGGAATGAAGGATCATAAACAAACCCCCCTTTGAAAAAAAAATGATATTATGCAATTGCATTAAAGTCTTACAAAAGCCTTTGTTGAGCTCTTGAATTAAACCCAACTGAATTAAACGTGTGTTAAATCATCACAGAACACTAGAATGCCTTAATGTCACTCTTGGTATGAGATTCTTAAGGTATGATATCTTTGACTAATTGCTTTAGATTACACTTAAAATACAGCATCTATTCTGCTTAAAGTATTACTGTTATAGTACTATTTGTAACTTCCCTTTTTCCCTCACTTAAACCAACCAGCATTTTAAATTGCAGCTGGATACATTTCGTCTGTTGCAGTGCTTTTTTCCGTTCTTTTCTTTATAGCGTAATAACAAGAAGTTAATGGTGGTTAGCTAATTATTCAGAGTCAGTTTGCAGGTTGCCAACTTTTATTTAAAGCAGGGCTATAGGTGGTGCTCCTTTATGTTCCAATGGTAAATGAGCATAAATGAGGGAAATAGTTTGGTATATTCTTTTTACTAGCTGCCTGCGACGGCAGAGCAACAGGTGGGGGAGGGGCTGCAGAGAAGCGGGATCATATTTGCCCTTCCACATCCTGTTAAAGCTCTTAAGCTTCAGTGATGGAAGATATTTGCATTTTTTCAAACCAATTGGTCCCAGTAACCTGCTCATGCTTGTTGATATCTTTCTGTCCAATTTGTCATTTTGAGGGAACGTTTAAAATGTTGCAAATAAAAACGAGAATGTGGATTAGGAGTAAATTAGCCAATTATGTCAGAAAAGGACGTTATTGACCACATGTCTGAGGGAAGAAAAAAAATGTGTTGCCATCATTCCTTCCTGTCATCGTTCTTTCAACTGGTATCGGTAATGGAAGAAGTGCATTGTGGGACAATCCAGGAAGGCGCGGGCAGCAGAAATAGCTGATCAGTCATGTGTGATAAATGTTAGCAAATCTGTTTCTGTCCTCCGTTTAGTTAATAAAGTGTTTTGGGCTTTTTGTTTTGAAAAAGTCAAAACACCTGAAGTGAACTGAAGCCTTTTTGCGTTATTTCTCATTTTTGCCGTTTCCGTCGACCTTTTCTAATACAATATTTTTAAATGTTCATTAAAAAACTAGATAGCTTGTGTGTCATG